TGGTCTTGGTCTTGACTTGGTCTCAGTACACTCTGGTCTTGGTCTTGCAGTTTTTCAATGATGATTTCATTGATTAAGAAAACTAAGGCCCGGACCAGCCTGGCCCCGTGTTCCTTCAAGCTAACAATGGTTTGTCTATTTGTGGCAACAGCTGCGATCAAGCACTGACGTTTTCCTTCACTTGACCTTGAATTATTATTACAAGGTTTTTGTGGTAAGTGTTTTTATTTTTAATTTTTGCTCTGCAGTGGATTGTGGCTGTGGAACTCCATGGAGGACACGTTTTCCAGTTCCTCTTTCTTCTTGTTGAATTATGAAGTGTGCCTGAAGCAGCTGAGGCCTGCAGAGCTCCAGATCATTTTGGGAGCTGGTCAGTGTGCTCTCTGACACACTCCTGGAAGGTTCACCACAGGTCCATATCTTCTCCTTTGTGGATTATGTCTTTATTTAAGTGATTTTTTTACGGGTCTGGCAGTAATCAGGCCAATTAATTCATGACTTCATGAATCATGATGTCACTGCACCCAGTATTCACTGGTCAGTTGGTCATCATTATCTACAGGCAGACTCTCACACTGGTTCATCTTCATCTATAAATCCTTCCTTGGTCTACTACCTTCTTACATCTCCTCCCACATGTCTCTCGTCAGTGCAGTTACAGCGTGCGAACTCTGGACATCATTACCTGCAGCGTCCCCTCACTGCGGACTGAACTTGGCAAAAGGCCTTTTCCTGCTCAGCTCCTGCACCTGGAACATCTTGCAACAGGAAGTGAAGTTGTCCTCCTTGATTTCTTGAAGGAGTTTCAAACATTTCATGATGTTAACGGAAACATCAAAGCAGATATGTTCTTGCTTTTACTATTTCACTGTTTTACAGCACCGATTCATTGTTTTATACACTACTCTAATTTAACTGCATTTTTACTGTAGTTTATTGTTGTTGTTTACTGTTGTTGTTGTCTGAACTTTATATGTTCTGTGTGGGTCAGGTCTCTGTAGATGAGTCCTGCAGGCTCAGTGAGACTAGCCTGTAGAGCTGAATGAAAAAGATTAACTAGGAGGGCAGTTACTTTATTGTACGAGGCTTAGTTGGTTTAGCTTTTTCCTTAATAAATAAAAAACTTTCAATACAAAATAAATCCTTAATGAATTCATTAGTCCTTAATAAATCCAATCAGTTCTAGAAGAACATATTGTGTATGACCTCAGGTATGAACATTTGTTTGATGATCTGAAACGATTAAATTGGACCAAAAAACAGAAGTCATCTGTTAATACCTGCTGGATGCTGGACGTTCTCAGTAAGTCCAACTGCAGCAGGGCTTTAGGTCCACGTGCACCTTTTCAAGGTCCACGTGCACTTTTTTGTCGCTGCAGGATGGCGAACGCCTCTTTGATCCCTGGCGACCTGCTGAGGGAGAACACGGACGAAGTTCTGCAAGATGAGCAGCTGAGCGACGTAGAGAACAATCCTGTTCCTGAACGTGCGCCGGGCTCCCCCCTCCACCCCCAGCGTAACCAGGAGGCTGATGTTTGGGAGGAGCTGGACCGAAACCGTAACCGCATCAGGACGACTGCCTGGAAGGTAGACGACATAAATCCACACGTGCATGTTTAATTCAAGTTATGTTGCTCTAAAAAGTTTTGGTTCTGCAGACGGCAGCGGAGGAGGATCAGTGCAACAACCAGGGACTTCCTGGACACCAGAGTCCCTACACAGGACCAAGTCTGGGCTCTCTTGTCAAAGTGCCCTCTGAGGTGGCCCCTGCAGATCGTGATGGCCCCCTCCTGAGAAAACTCCACAACATCCACAGCTTGGAGCTGGAAAGGAGGCTGGGCCTGGACTCAAAGCCCAGCCCAGAGCGGTTCCAGGAAGCATGGTGAGATTGTTCATACATGTACATGTACTGTACTTGTACATGCACACATATCAGAATCAGCTTTATTGTCATTGTATAGAGCACAATGAAATTACATTTCAGTACAGCCCATCCAAAGAACCACAACCAAACGAACAGACACACACTTGGGTAGACGGGGGTGACTGAGGCGCAGCCTCTGAGAGGCGCTCCTTTTTCGTTAGATTAGAAAAGAGGGAACACGAGGGGAGAGGGGGCAAATAAATCAAATCTCACACTTTTCATTCAACCTTTATTTAAACAGATAAATCACATTGAGCCTCGAAGACTCATTTACAAGTGAGACTTGTTTGGACAGACAAAAACAGTGGTTAACTGGACACATGGAGGAGTTGGAGGCAAAATAATTCCCATCAGACTTTTTCTTGGCTGAGAAAAACCTCTAATATTGAAAAAACACCTCGCACAAACAAGCACATATTTACGTAGACATTCTGCAGAGCAGGAAGAAGGAAGAGACGAGAGCGGTCAACAACGTCTACAGATGCTCTCCAGGTCACTGTAATCAGTCAATGTCCTCCGCTGAGATCCATAAACATTCTCGAGGGATGTCGAGGAATGGCCAAGAATAACGTCTATGAGAATCCAGAGTCCTGAAATGATGACACAAAGTTTATTCAGCTGGTTCATCTGGTTATCAGTTGGAAATTCCTCAGGGAGTGGGTGGTGAGCGTCAGATCACATGTTCTCCAGGCGACTTTAGATGAGATGTCCTTCAAGGACCAAGGCGACCAAATTCAGATAAACACACAGTTGTTTTGGGGACAGGCAGAACTTAATGACATCAACCTTCAGTCTGTGTCGGTCCACTCGGTTCCAAAATGTCCAGATTAACATGGCCACACCGATGTAAACGTGTCTGAGTAAAAATCCCAGAGATCTGATCCATTCAGCCCAAAGCATTTGAGTCTGGGTACTCGAGACACGAACCAAGCCATCATAAAGGCAAGCAGCGTGATCGGGTCCAAATTTGCTGCTGACGACTTCCTTGATTGTAGATAAAACCAGGACCAGCTAAATCCAAAAAGCAGGAACCAGTTATCGTGAATCCAATTAAATATGCGTCCTGAACATCCACAGATGGCAGCAGAGATAGACACATCATCAAGTCTTCCAGTCGATGAGATATCCAGCTGCGTACGTGCCAACAGGGTAAATCGGCTCGCCTAAAGCCTGTCTTCTCTTGAAGAAATGTTGTAAATTGAGTTGAGGGACCGACTGGTCAGAACAAGTCCATAATTATGGTTCAGAAGATGCAAGAGAGACTCACAAGCAGTTTCACAGACAGACAGAGCAGCAAAGCGGAGAGGGAGGGGGAGGGAAGCATCCGAGCTCGGCTTGAGCAAGTGGTGAAGTGAGTGTCCCTGCAGGACACAATGCGAACCCAGCACATAAAAAAGCAACATAAATAGTCATAGCCATATGCGTGTGGAGCGGGTGGGGTGGTGGGGGTCCCAGCACAGGCTGCCAAGTGAGCGATGCAGCCACTGACGCCCTCGCATCTTCTAGGTTGCTGCACCAGGGGAGGGGCAATGATGAAGGCCAGTTTGAGGAGCCAGAGCCCTATA